CTTGGCAACTCCTGGTCTCAAAGTAGATTGTGAGGAATGAGAACAAAAGGAAAGTTCACTCTGAGTTCCTCTCGTCAGAGCAGGGCAAATTGCTTTGAGGTCACACTAAAAGATGATAATGGTACCAAGTAACAGAAAAAAAAGAAAAAAAGAGCATCCGAAAAACCAAGAATGTGTTAGGTCACCGGGAGCTTGCCTAGCATAAAGTGACATAAAACCACCAGTGACATTCACATAGGTCCTACCACATAGTGCTGTGCAAGACACTTCCAATCAGCACTCAGTTGGCCAAAACAGTGAAGAGAATGCCTCAACTACTCTGAGAACATTCGTTCACTTGACAAACAGTAATTGACATTTCATGGTGTCGTCCAGGACTATTGCTATTAATGCTGGAAGGTGCAATAGGAGCTCTTATCTTATGTCCTGTACTAGCTGGTCCAGTGAGGCCAGAAGGAATCACTGTAAAGTGAATACTGGGAAATCGATGCTGACCCTAGAAGGGCACTGGCACTGCAGAAAATAGGTGGTGAGATTTAGGAATGCCAAAATGCTAACTGGAAAGAAATGTGTGCAAGTTTAAATTCCTTGTTATGGACTGAATGTTTGTGTCCCCACAAAATGTTTATGTTGAAGGCTGGGCGTGGTGGCTCACGCCTGTAATCCCAGCACTTTGGGAGGCCAAGGCGGGTGGATCACGAGGTCAAGAGTTCAAGACCAGCCTGAACAACATGGTGAAACCCCGTCTCTATTAAGAACACAACAATTAGCCAGGTGAGGTGGCAGGCGCCTGTAATCCCAGCTACTCAGGAGGCTGAGGCAGGACAATCACTCGAACCCAGGAGGCAGAGGTTGCAGTGAACCAAGATCACACCACTGCACTCCAGACTCCATCTCAAAAAAAAAAAAAAAAAAAAAAAGTTTATGTTGAAATCCCAACCCCAATGTGATGGTATTCAGAGGTGGGGCCTTTGGAAGGTAATTTAGATCATGAGGGTGGAGTCCTGGTGAGTGGGATTCATGCCCTTATAAAAGAGATTCCAGGGTGCTCTCTACCCCTTTCCACCATGTGGAGGTACGAAAAGACAACAGCAGTCTGTGACCAGGGAGAGGGCCCCTACTAGAACCCAACCATGCTGGCTCCCTCATCTCAGACTTCCAGCCTCCAGAACTGTGAAAAATAAATGTCTTTTGTTTTAAGCCACCCAGTCTATGGTGTTTTGTTATAGCAGCTTGAACTAAGACACTCCCAAGAGGAAAGACACAGCCAACTGCTAGTCTTTCTCCTCCAGACTTAAAATTTATCATCCATAAAACAGGCTGAATAAGATGCTGAATACTTTCCCTTTTGGCAGATTTAGAATGGTTCTAGGAGTTATCTGCGATCCCGCAGTGGAGATGGGACAACATGGGCTCTCTTTTTTGTTGTTACTTTTGAGACAGAGTCTCACTCTGTTGCCCAGACTGGAGAGCAGTGGTACGACCTCGGCTCACTGCAACCTCCGCCTCCCGGGTTCAAATGATTTTCCAACCTCAGCCTCCCAAGTAGCTGGGACTATATGCACGTGCCACTACACCTGGCTAATTTTTGTATTTTTAGTAGAGATGGGATTTTGCCACATTGGCCAGGCTGGTCTTGAACTCCTGACCTCAGGTGATCCACCAGCCTCGGCCTCCCAAAGTGCTGGGATTATAGGTGTGAGCCAGCACACCTGGTGCCAGCTGCTAATCTTTCTTTTCCAGGCCTAAAATCTCTCATGCATAAAATAGGTTGAATAAGCTGCTGCATATCTTCCCTTTTGGCAGATTTAGAATGGTTCTGGGAGTTATCTGGGGATCCTGCAAAAGAGATGGGACAACATGGGCTCTCTTAATGTGGGAATCTGTAAACAGCTGCAGGAACTAGAAACTACAGGCATGCTATCTGTATATTACAATCAGTTGTTGAGAAATTTTTAAATGCTGAAGATGCCAAAGCCCTTCTTCCAGATTTTAAGCCAGAGGTTGCAAACTAGGCACCCCTACATTTTGTTTGGCTAGCAGAATATTGTTTAAAAATTGACCCAGCATTTAAAAATGGTGAAATTTCACCTGAAAACCCAGATTTTTGGCTTCTCCTGAAAGACTGAACTATCTGGCAGCACTGGAGCCACAGCAGCAATTAGCTGGAGGTGAGTAGCGGCTGTCCCATTGAGATGGGCACCTGTTCTCTAGTTTGATCATCTCTACCCCTCACATTAGGGTGACCATTTAACTCGGCCAGCACTTTTGAGAATAAAAGGTGGGGGGGAGGTGGCAGAGTGCTGTGTATTGACACCTGAACTAGGGGCATGAAGCAGGATTCTCAGGAGGAATAAGAGTGCACGATTACACTAAATCACATTGCTTACGCTGGGCTTGTTTCATTCTTTGCCCACTGTTATTTGGGTTTTGTGCTCACAAATCAGGGGACCTTGTGAAGTAGCAAGGAAAGAAAAGGTGTAAAATTAGTAAGAGACACAAAGGTTGAAAAGAAAGTGAAGAGATTAAAAAGGGTATTAAAATGAATGCCAATTATACCAAACTTGTAGGTAGAGGCAGAGCCTTGCTGGTGGCTGGCTCAGCATGGAAGTTTGACCCTCCAGGCTCCCTGCCCTACACAGCACTGTCAGTTTTAATAAGCTGTAATCCCATAGTTACAAGCAAGACTAATCAAACTGCAGAGAGCAGCCTGTTCCTAATCAGGAAGGCACAGGGTAATCATTTAACTCTGTGGTTTCTTACTGAGCTCCAAGCTGCCTCTACAGAAAAAACACCCTGGATAAGATAGTTGCTTTCCACTCTAGCCTTGACCCTTTGATGGTCTTTGTTTGAAATTTCTATTAAAATGCTTTCATTACACAAGTATTTGGTTTAAAACTGTTTTAGAATATTTTCTCTTTATTCCAAGGAGTAACAAAATAAACCTCCCCCAAAATATATAAGAAACCTCCCACTCCAGTTGATTACCTGAGTCCACTTGAACTAATCACAGTACCCAAACATTTCAACACCATTCAGGGTGTGGTTACAGTCCCAAACTGGGAAGGGGGGTAGAAATTTGAGGATGTGGAATGGCAACCCATGTTGAGCACCTACAGATACCAGCATGGTACCATGGGGCATGTGCTAGTGCTAGCTATTCACTACTGGAAAAGCTGAAGCCAAGGCCAAGTTGCAGCAAAGCTCCTAAAGCACCCAATACCCCAAGGCCAGGAGGCCCCTCTATGCAGTCCCTGATTCTCTTAGCCCCCTCAACCCAGAAGTAAGTCAAAATAAGAATTTATTTAGTACAGTGGATAATCATTGAGTTTAAGTCAGGAGGAGCTAGAGTCTACCTGGGAGCTGAGTAGTCGCCTTTAGGCCCTTAGGCAAACTATTTAACTTTCCTGAAATATCTGGTGGGCACTCAGGCAGGCTATTCAACCCTCTTAAAATTCAGTTCTTAAATAGTTGGCTTCAGCTTTTCCAGTAGGGAGTAACTAGCACTAGCACATGTAGCCCATAGGACAAAAGCAACACCTCACAGCCATGCTCTAAGAGTCAATAGTTATATATGAAAAGCATTTACCAAGATGCCTGGCACATTTAAGATACTCCATAGATTGTGATTATTATTTTTATTATGTGCTAGCACGTCCTTAAGGCTCGTAATTATATAACTTAAAGAGGTAAGCGATATGGCTTGGATGTTTGTCCCCTCCAAATCTCATGGTGAAATGTAATCCCCAGTGTTGAAGGTGGGGCCGGGTGGGAGCTATCTGGGTACATCCCTCATGAATGGCTTAACACCATCTCCTTGGTGATGACTGCATTCTCCCTCAGTTCACATGAGATCTGGTTGTTTGAGTCTGGGACCTCCCCATTCTCTCACCACGTGACACACCAGCTTCCCCTTTGCCTTCTACCCCAATTGTAAGTTTCCTGAAGCCCTCACCAGGAGCAGATGCTGGCGCCATGCTTCCTGTACAGCCTGTAGAACTGTGAGCCAAATAAACCTCTTTCCCTTACAAATTACCCAGCCTCTGGTATTTCTTTATAGAAACACAAGAACAGACTAATACAGATAGATAAGGGAATATTCATAATGTATATAATTGAATAGCTCCTTTTTGGATTTTACATTTATCATAGATGTTCTCAAAGCAATGAACACAGATAAACATTTTTTTCTTCCAATGAGAAATCTCTAGAACATTTCTGGTATTACAGAAATTTAATATTTTGTTTAACAGACCTACTACATTTACAGAAAGCCAAACACAGTATATTTTTTAAATTAAAAATGTTTTCTTTGCTATTGCCTTTAATAGATTTGCTACAATAAAGGAAAGGAATATTTTTCTCAAACGTGCTAATAAGAAAAAGACCCAGGAAACTGAACAATATTGGACACAGTTTTCAGTGTTTTGGACATAAATAAACTCATGAATTTCATATGGATTCTGGAATATTTACCACTACTCCCCTAACGATGCATTTAGCATTGAACAAAAATATGAACGTTTGAACAAGTCCAATCCAACACGTTTCAAAACAATCAGATCCTTGGAAAACTGTTTTCCGTAAGTACCCCTTGCCATTCATGGAAGAGTTATGAGGATGCCCATGAATTTATTCATAGACATTCCCATACTATGAAAAAGAAAACCAGATAGATGGGTAATATAATTTGACTATTTGTCCCAGCCCAAATCTCAGGTTGAAATGTAATCCCCAATGCTGGAGGTGGGGCCTGGTGGGAGGTGTCTGGAGCACAAAGGTGGATCCCTCATGAATGGCTTGGGCCATCCCCTTGCTGATAAGTGACTTCTTGCTCTGAGTCTTGTTCCTGCTTTTGTTATGTGATGTGCCTGCTCCCCCTTCACATTCTGCCATGATTGTAAGCTTCCTGAGGCCTCCCCAGAAACCAAGCAGATGCCAGTACCATGCTTCCTATAAAGCCTGCAGAGCTGTGAACCAATTAAACCTCTTTTCTTTACAAATTACCCAGTCTCAGGTATTTCTTTATAGCAATCCAAGAACGGCCTAATATAATGGGCTCCCAACAAATAAAACATACAGCAGCCACAAAATAATTAGAAACAATATTAAGTAATGTCCACTAAATTTTGAACAGCAAAATATAGCACAGAAGTATAAAACAAATGTATTTCTTACCCCTACAAAAAAAAGGGGCATCTTTTTGGTTTTGTTATTGCTGTTTGTATAAAAACTATGGTGTGTGCATGTGGGTGTATGTGTATTCCTTAAAGAAAACTTGAAAAACATAGAGATAACTTAGAAAGAATCACCTTCCCCTACCAGCCTCAGGATCTCCTGATACCAATTCAATAACCATTTAAAAACCCACAGGCCAAACCTCTCTTTAGGCTCTCAGATATCCCTACTGTTGCCTGTCTCCCAGGATGACAATTAGGGCTATTAAGGTTATGACTCTAATCTAAAACTTTTTGTTCTTCAAATTTTAGAGCTAGACAGTATCTTAAAAGTTCATTCATTCCTATCCATTATGCCTGTCCCTATTTATTCAGCAGGAAACAGTCATGGAGAAGTTAAGTGAATTGCCCAGGAGTCATATCTGAAGAGGATGGAGACTATCTTCTAATCGTTAGGCCAGGCAGGGCTCTGTCTAAGTGAACACATTGAGAATGAATCTTCACAAGAGATAGGGCTTCAGTTATTACGTAGTTAGACTATTAATGAACCTGGAAGGCAGATCACAATGGATGTGCACAACCAGATGAAAGCAGCTGGGCAAACTTTTGGCTCCTAACAGGCAATTACATTGGCTCTAAAAAGAAGCTACAAATAGGCCATGTGGTCAAATAGAGGAGTGTGACCTGGGACAGATGATCACAGGAGCAATGTTCAAGCCCGCCCCACATTCCAGGGATATCCGAGCCCGGTTAAGTCACAAGAGTGATTTCTGATTGGCTGCACTGCCAGGGCAGGGTAGAAGACAGAAGTATCCAAAAGAGTCTCCTGAGAGTATGAAGGTGAACTAAAGGAAACCCTCAAACAAGCCAGATTTCTTCTCAAATCAACAGGCACATGTCCAGAGGCCATGCGTCTCACACCATTTTCCTTCAAGCCTCCATCCCATTCATTGGTCCCTCAGAATCTTGCCACTCCCACTTCAAGGTTGTGCCCTCACAGCTAAAGCTTTTGTATTTGACTAAATGAATCTCTATCAACTAAAAGAATTAGTCTAGAAGTTTAAAAGGTCACAGTTCAATTCGCTCTGTTCAATCCAGGTCATTTAAGTCTTTAGAAGAAATCTCTTCACCCTCATGTGGGCAGTTTGGTACAAATATTCTTTACTTTAGCAGACCTTATATCAAAATATAAATAACTAAGGCTCAGATTATTTCTTCTTCATGTCTTCCCATCTTACAACACTGATACAGGCTCAGTGTGAAGAGTGAGACTTGTATTTGCAAGATCTCAAGATGCTTGCCTGTGGATGAGCTCTTTCAGCTGTGCCAGTTTGTCATTTTTTAGTGCCTCCCGGATGGAATGGAAAAACCCAAAGTAGTGTTCAAAGTTGTGCATCATAAGCAGGACTCCGGCCAGCAGCTCATTGGTCACCAGCAGATGGTGGATGTATGCCCGAGTGTGATTCTTACAGCAGTAACAGGAACATCCTCTCACCAGCGGGTTAAAGTCCTCCTGGTACCTAAGACAGAAGTCACAGTGACATTCCAGAAAGTACGGAACACAAGAAATCCACAACCTCAGCTATCTATTCTGCTGGTAAAGTTACCAGTGGTTAATAACATCACTAGCAAATGTTCAGTGCTGTGCACCTGCTTAAAATGGCAATAAGGTTAAAAGTGAACAAACAGCTGGATGCGGTGGCTCACTCCTGTAATCCCAGCATTTCGGAAGGCCGGGACAGGCGGATCACGAGGTCAGGAGTTCAAGACCAGCCTGGCCAATATGGCGAAACCCCATCTCTACTAAAAATACAAAAATTAGCCAGGAATGGTGGTGCATGTCTGTAGTCCCAGCTACTCGGGAGGCTGAGGCAGGAGAATCACTTGTACCCGGAAGACAGAGGTGGTGAGCCGAGATCACACCACTGCACTCCAGCCTGGACAAGAGAGCAAGATTCCGTCCCAAAAAAGGAAAAAAAAAAAGTTAACAAAGGACACAATGAGTCAGGGAGACCCTGGAGGTTTTCTCTGACTGATGCAAACTCCGAGTCTGGGGTTACGAAGGAGCATCAGAATAATTTCATGTGGTCGCTCACTCATGTTGACTACTACTAATCACATTGTAAAGGCACATAATGTTAGGAAACACATGTAAGTGTTTGACACTTAGGAGAGAAGTGAGTGACACTTCTTTCCCACTTACCACCAGAATTATTATCAAAAGACATGGTAGACTTCTACTTACACAGCTTTTTGCAGTTTACCAAACGCTTTCACATATATTGTCTCATTTAACCTTCACATTCATTCTTAGAGATAACCATTTTTATTGTCATTCTACAGAAGAAGATTACTATGGGGGTTGAGAGGGAGGGCCTGGAGCTACCCTGCATGAATTTGATTCCTGGCTTCACAACTCACTTGGGCAAGTCACAGTCACTTAACAACTCTCTGTGACTTGTTTCTCATCCATGAACCAAAGGTAATAACAGTGCCTATCTCAGACAGTTGTTACAAAGATGAAATGAATTAGTACAGTGAAAGAACTTGAACACTGCTGGGCACGTACTAAGCCTAGGCACTGCATAGGTGTTAACTTTTTTTTTTTGAGACAGGGTCTTGCTCTGTCACCCAGGCTGGAGTGCAGTGGTATAATCATAGCACACTGCAGTCTCGGACTCCTGGGTTCAAGCAACCTCGCACCTCAGCCTCCCACCATGCCCAGATAATCTGTTTTAGAGAAAAGGTTTTGCTATGTTGTTCAGGCTGGTCTTGAACTCCTGGGCTCAAGTGATCCTCCATCCTCAGCCTCCCAAAGTGCTGGGATTACAGATGTGAGCTACCATGCCTGGTCAGGTGTTACCTTTAATCAACTATTAAAAATAAGTGGATTGAGGTCAGGAGTTCAAGCCCAGCCTGGCCAACATGGTGAAACCCTGTCTTTACTGAAAATACAAAAATTAGCCAGGCATGGTGGTGCATGCCTGTAATACCAGCTACTTGGAAGGCTGAGGCAGGAGAATCGCCTGAACCCAGGAGGCGGAGGTTGCAGTGAGCCAAGATCATGCCACTGCACTCTGGCCTAGGCGACAGCGCGAGACTGTTGCAAAAAAAAAAAAAAAAAAGTGAATTGACCAGACCAAAGTCACACAGTCAAGAGCAGTGCTAGAATTTGTCTACAAATCACAAAAACTGAAAGTCTAGTGCCAATAATAATAGTACAATTTCCAATTAAATCTATAACATGAAGGGAATTTTAGTAGTAACCATTTATATTACCCTAAAAATTTAAAAACATAAATAAACCATTTGAGAGTCAGTGGATGACAGAAAAAAAAAAAAAGGATAAAAGAAAAGAAAGACAAAAGCAAATCTATCTCCTTGGTTATTTTTTTAAGAAGTCAAATGTGGTAGATATTACCATTTCTGATCTACAATTAAAGGAGTCCCAACAGAATATGAGTAAGAACAGGATTTTTCACATTCTTTCATGAACTCTCAAGTCTGTACTATCACTAGATAGATATAAATAAGTCACAAGCCATAGGATTTCCCTTTACATAAGACCAAAAACCCACCCTAGTACTAAAGTGAGTGCGTCAGACTCAAAGAAAAATCACTCACTGGTTCACTGATGATTACCACTTTTGACCAAATACAAAAATTACAAGACACAGGTTCAGTATCCCTAATCTGAAAATCTAAAAAGGGAAATGCTCCAAAATTCAGAACTTTTTGAGCACTAACATGATGCTCAAAGGAACTGCTCATTGGAGTATTTCAGATTTCAGATGACGGATGTTCAGCCAGGTAAGTATAATGCAAATGTTCTAAAATAAAACAACAACAACAACAACAACAACAATAAATCAAAGAAATCTGAAACACTTCTGGTTCCAAGCATTTTGAAGAAGGGATATTCAATTCAATCTGTATCTTAATTTGTTCTTTATAGAGATAAATATTTTATGTAAGATTTATAGCCTGTATCTAACAAAGATGTTAGGCACCCTACAATTTAAAAGTTTGTTGTGTTTTATCTTGAAATCCTTATTATGCTCTAAAGGAATAAAAGACAGCAAACAGGCCGGGCGCGGTGGCTCAAGCCTGTAATCCCAGCACTTTGGGAGGCCGAGGCGGGTGGATCACGAGGTCAGGAGATCGAGACCATCCTGGCTAACATGGTGAAACCCCGTCTCTACTAAAAATACAAAAAACTAGCCGGGCGTGGTGGCGGGCGCCTGTAGTCCCAGCTACTCGGAGGCTGAGGCAGGAGAATGGCGTGAACCTGGGAGGCGGAGCTTGCAGTGAGCCGAGATCGCGCCACTGCACTCCAGCCTGGGTGACACAGCGCGAGACTCTGTCTCAAAAAAAAAAAAAAAAAAAAAAAAGACAGCAAACAATGGATTTGGTCTAATCTTTCTGTCAGCTTTTCTAAAGCAATCATTACCTGGCTCTAGTCTTCTGACAAGACAAAGTCTACAAATTCATCTGCAGAAAATAAAGAGTTTTTTTGAAACTGAATTTGAGAAGGTCTAAATAATACCCAACTATTAATATTTTATGAAATCATAAATTGAGAATAGTCCCATAAACTTTTAAAACAGACTAAAATTCAGAAATCAGAAAGTAAAATCTAAACCTTTAAAAATTTCTTACATTTTTTCCTTCAGATTAATTTCAAATGATGTTATTTCTTGGTTGCAACCAGTTATTTCCATTTTCTTTATTTGATCCACACATTTTATTTCTTCTTGTGTTCCATTTTGTTGTAATACTGAAGGACAAACCAATAAAAAGCCTTGAATGATGATCAGATAAGAAGTGGCCATTGGAAACACTTTATTTTAGTTATTATTGCATGATCTTTGACTCTGTAATTTCACTCCTGAGAATTTATCCTAAGGAAATCACACAAGAAATGAAAAACAGCAATATGCTCCAAGACGGTCACTGTCCTCTTATCTACAACACCAAAACAATTTAGAGATTCAATAATATTTAACCAAATTATACTTACAAATATATAACATACAATCTTACCATCAAGAAATAATTTAAAAAATGGTTGATGGCCAGGCGTGATGGCTCATGCCTGTAATCCCAAAAGTTTGGGAGGCTAAAGCAGGAGGATTGCGTGAGGTCAGGAGTACATGACCAGCCTAGGCAACACAGCAAGACCCCATCTCTATTTAATAATAAATAAATAAACCAACAAAAGTTAACATTGGTTGTGTGTGTGTGTGTGTGTGTCGGGGGGGGGGGTGGGGTTATCACTATCCCTTATCACAATGTACATGCAAATAAATTGGGCTTCGAATTACCTATATTCCAAATAGATTAAAGTAGAACATGGTTTTAATATATGTATTCTATGTGGAGACTCTGGCCCTCTGGGGAACCCAGACTATCCAGAATTAAATGGCAACCTGAATTGTTCCCTTCAACTTTCTGCTTTAAGAAGAAACATTCCTTGCACTGCAAAAGAAACACCAGCTACTCTACAAAAAGCCAACTGCCTGAAACAGGGACAAGTAGTTAAGGGGTATTTTGAGAACAAATGATAACAAATCTCAGTGTTGGTCCCAGGAGAAGGACAGGTGGTCTTAGGAGGGTAATTTTATCAAGGTCAAAGGAATAAGAGAAGCAACCTGAGCACTGGGCACAGAGCTGTCATAATTTTGTTCTCATAAATTTGCATGCTGATGCGGGAAACCATAATGAAGCCCTCAGCTGGCTGCAGTGACTCATACCTGTGAGCCCAGCACTTTGGGAGGCTAAGGCAGGAGGGTCGCCTGAGGTCAGGAGTGCACAACCAGCCTGGGCAACACAGCAAGACCCTGTCTCTGCAAAAAGTTTAAAAATTGGCCAAGCATGGTGGCATGCACCTGTAGTCCCAGCCTACAAGGTGGCATGCCCCTCCTAGTACTCGGGAGGCTGAGGTGGGAGGATGGCTTGTGCCCATTAAAGTTAAACAAATTAAACTTTACCAAGCAGTTCAAAGGTTTTCTTATAATTTCCATCACAATTCACTCTGAATGTTCTTTTTTCAGGAGTTCGAGGCTGTAGCGAGCCATAATCATACCACTGCACTCCAGCCTGGGCAACAGAGTGAGACCCTATTTCTGAAAAAAATTTTTTTGAGCTCTGACATTTTGGAAAACTCTTGTCATTTGGGAGAACTGGTGTCAAGTAATTTCTTTGGAATTCTCAGTATGTAAGTGGCAAAGTACTTTAATTTACCACACACACACAGTTAATAATACTTTGTTTAAACATTCAAATTATTTTCTTTTTCCTAATCATGAAGAAACTTGGCTTTCTCTGGCCAAAAATGACCTTGTTCATTATAGAGAACTCAAATCAGGTTCTTTTTAGAGCTTTGCATATTCCTGGTACTGAATGACTAACAGTTACCTCTATTCTGGTGGAAATAATTCAGTTTGTAAATGCAGATGTGAAAATTTATAGTGTTAATGGTATACCTAGCCACATACATTATGTTCTGGTCTGTCTAAAAGGACAGTAAAATTGATCTCCTATATATTTAAGAATTTGATCAACTTGATTTATTTTGTTTCCAGAGTAATTCTATTTAGATTAATGGTTAAGCTGCTTCATAAAAGTATAACATCTGAATGAAAGTTAGTTACCTGTGAGGAATAAAAATGAACTTTTAAGGAAGTTTTGGGTCCTATTTAAATTTAAGGTTGACGCGGTTAAGGAAAAGTTCCAAAGACGGCAGGAAAAGGAAAGGAAAGGCCATTTCTCAAGGTCAGAGGGAAGACTGCACGGAGACACTCTCCTGAAAACCTACTTCAAGCAACTCTAGCCCAAAGTCGATATCCCAGCTCCTTTTGTACCTCCAGTTAAGTGTTAGAATCTGAAACTGACTTTCTTAACTTCTGGAAAACTAAAGAATAAAAGAAAATGGTAGTCCTTCAAAGCAACATTAGCAGAGGAAAACAGCTTTCAAAGCCTGGTGTATATAAAAAAAAAAAAAGAAAAACCACCAAAATGCAAGAAGTAACACTAGGATCAGAGGATCATGAGTCTCCCTGTATTTTAATAGCATAAGGTTTGCAAAGAAAAGACAAAAACTCTTTTGTGAGAAAATAAGTTAACTTTAACCAAGCAGTTCAAAGGTTTTCTTATGATTTTCATCACAATTCACTCTGAATGTTCTTTTTTCAGGCTGTTAACAGAGGAGGTTTTGTTTTTCTTGGTTCTGTTCACTATAAAATCACATCCTAATATTGATGAGCTACACGTATAGTATTAAGTACCTGGATTTGTGTGCCAACATGCCAGGGCACACAGATAAGAAACAAAGATGCAGTTTTGTAAAAGACTGGCTTTATATATACATGTTTCTGTCTTGTGACTCAAGCCAAAAATTAATAGGAAATGGAAGAAACTTAAGGATAAGAGATAAACTTCAAAAGACTTACGTATCTCTTCGGGATTCAGCTGGTAATCAAAACTGAAAGTCAGGGCACCTCCCCGCTCTGTTACTTGATAAGGGAAAAAACTCTCAAATAAGTCCACTCCTCTTTCAATACACTTGAGCACCTCATCTGGCCGACCAATACCAGATATGAGCCTGTAAAAGTAACAATAAGAACAGTGACATGAGGACGATGCAAGGAAGGAAATCAGAAAGTCCTTTTAATGGACAAGGCACCAAAAAAAAAAAAAAATAATGAAAAACACCAATCACGGTTAGAGCAGCAGGCAGTAGACAGAAACATGTAGTAGAAAGAACATACGGCTTTGGAGTCAGAAAAACTGGGGCTTGAATACTAGCTCTGTCATTTATGTATTTGCTGTGTCACTTTGGAAAGATTACTTAACTTCTCTGAGTTTTAGTTTTCTAATCTTAAAAACAAGAGCAAATAACATATACCCCCACAGAATCGTTCCGAGAATTAATGAGATATTTGAGAAAGCACATAGTATAGTTTCTTTTTTTTTTTGAGAGGGATTCTCACTCTTGTTGCCCAGGCTGAATGCAATGGCGCAATCTCAGCTCACTGAAACCTCCGCCTCCTAGGAGCAATTCTCCTGCCTCAGCCTCCCTAGTAGCTGGGATTACAGGCACCCGCCACCATACCTAGCCAATTTTTATATTTGTAGTAGAGATGGGGTCTCACCACGTTGGCCAGGCTGGTCTCGAACTCCTGACCTCAGGTGATCCGCCCACCTTGGCCTCCCAAAATGCTGGGATTACAGGTGTGAGCCACTGCACCCAGCCCATAGTATAGTTTCTGATCTCAGAGAGAAGTTCAAAGAAGGTTAGGTTAGTTTCCCTTCAACTATCATCCTTTCTGAACAACCTCCCTAGTCATAAACTAAACTTTATAGCCTATTCACTATATAGATTTTTTAGGAGTGCAAAGCTGTGTGCTTTATTTCTTGCTGAAATATTGTGCTTGTTTTAACTGTATTTTGCCTATAATTTTTCATAATTGGTATAATAAAGACATTTTACTCTACTATATCCCTCATAAGTTAATTTATAAAGCAACTCTTGCTGTCAGGATTTCACCTCTGGCCATAGGATCTAAGAATCTAGTTGGCTTTCTTTATATTTTCTCCATTAATAAAAAGTCTGCACTGTGGAATGAGATGGTGTTCTCCAAGGTACAGGTTTAGCATCCTTAATCCGAAAATCTGAAATCCAAAATGCTCCCAAATCTGAAACTTTTTGAGCGCCAACATGACACTGAAAGGAAATGCTCACCAGAGAGTTTTGGATTTTGGACTTTCAAATTAGGGGTGCCCAACCAGTATGTACCCTGCAAATATTCCAAGATCTGAAAAAATCCAAAATCTCAAGCACTTCTGGTCCCTAGCATTTTGGATAAAGGATACTCAACCTGTAATAGGTAAGGCATTCTAAGACTATTAATGGCACTCAGCTAGGTTTTGCCACTCCATGAAAACAGATGTGGAGATGCACTAAATCACGGCTGACTGGCTGGCTGCTGCTCTTTTTTATGTTTGTTTTTCTACCTATAGCCCCTTTCTATGAACTGGCACAGAAATGCAAAGAAAAGCCTCATGTAATATTAAATAAGCAGAACTCTTAAATATATGCTGGTTTTCTTGACTACAGTTTCCTTCAAGTAATGTAATATTTTAGAACTCCTATCCAACTGAAGCTGGCATTTCTACACACTGATAGAAAAACAATCCAGCTTTCAAATTCAGTAACAGACATCTGTGAGCACTTAACAGGAAGAAGTCAAGAAAATGTCTAGAAATACTAGTGCTGAAGTGTTATGTGCACCAGAGTGAAACAAGTACAGGAGAGGGAGCAATGAACACAAAAGAACTAGGTAAAATTGGGGGTCAAAGGTTGGCTGAGGTGATGGAAATACCTCGTTCTGGGTAGTGTTTACAGAAGTGTAGACATGTGAAAATTAATTGAGCTGTATGTATGATTCATGTGCTTTCCTCTAAGCTTTACCTGGATCTTTAAAAAGGTAGTAAAATCACGCCTGTAATCCCAGCACTTTGGGAGGTCAAGGCAGGCGGATCACCTGAGGTCGGGAATTCGAGACCAGCCTGACAACAAGGAGAAACCCTGTCTCTACTAAAAATACAAAATTAGCCGGGTGTGGTGGTGCATGCCTGTAATCCCAGCTACTTGGGAGGCTGAGGCAGAAGAATCACTTGAACCCAGGAGGCAGAGGTTGCGGTGAGCCAAGATCATGCCATTGCACTCCAGCCTGGGCAACAAGAGCAAAACTCCGTCTCAAAAAAAAAAGTAGTAAAATTACATATATTATATACTATCCAACTAAAGGAGTGTAGAGCAGCACACCACAACCAAACTTCTTAATATACATGCAGGAAAAAAGCATGAATATTAACATTGAGATAACAAACCATTAAAAAAAATGTGGGTAGCCTAATACGACATCAGCTGCATTCAGAAACTCAGAATTTGTAGCTTCAAATCTTGCAGATCATCTTTTCTTACCAGCACAAGGTGAATTCTGCAATTTATGGAAATGTAAGAACCACTCCTACTAGGGTTGTCAGTCCCCTTAATTTCAAAAATTGACACCACTCACTACCAGCCTCAAATCTAAGAGCTTCTTAAGTTCTTGTTGGTGGAACTCATCTTCATCCCACTAATCATCCCATATCTGTCCTCAACTTTCCTCAGTTTAAACCAGAGTTCCATATGACTTTATACTTGGTCTCCACATACCATGTTATAATGAAGAGAATTACAACAATATTTGTAATTGGCAAAAGAATGAGGGGAAACACTGTAATACTTGCTCTCGCTTAGGAGGATCAAATAACATAATTCACATGGCAGTTATCCTCTACTCTACATTCTGAAATCAAGGCCAGGACAGCCTTCACAGAAACTCCCCTTACAGTCTGCCTCAGTGCCTCAGCAGACTCAGCCCAGAAAGGACATAATCAAAACATCAAAAATATGCCCATGCACAGACACTATGTAATACACAATTAGCCAGCACTCCTGTCCTGCATCCCATGAGGCCAGCCTGTGTCCTAACTGAACTGGCCTTGGTTTGTCCTCCGGCAGCTCTGCAGTGACTGATGACAGTAAGCACAGTCTAGTCTCCAGGGTTGTTGGATTTCCTTGAAAACCATCCAGAAGGAAGCCACCTACGGGCCGCTTGGCTGTCTCTCGTGCTGACCTCAGCCTCTCTTCCATCACATCTCCACCTTCAATCACTCCAATGATCACACTCTTCTGAAGAACCTGAGTTAAAAAAGGATGACATGTTTTTAACCATTTTCAGTATCAGAGACCTTTGTTTAAATGAACCTTACATGGAAGTCCAATGTATAGAAGAGACCTCAGTGAAGCTGCTGCAGTTGAAGCATTAAGGGGCATGGTGCTCCCTTCTCCCTAAGAACCTTTAGGGCTCTGAGGAACATACTTTGAAAAACATACTTTACCCATCAGGTAAGAAAAGACTTAGGAAAAAGATGCATTCAACATATGTAGTCTTGTTCTTGCTTAGATTAAATTAGATCAGGTGCAGTGGCTCAAGCCTGTAATCCCAGCACTTTGGGAGGCCGAAGTAGGAGGATCATTTGAGCCCAGGATTTTTTTTTTTTTTTTT